AAATACACAAAGAGGATCTGTTAATATAATTATTTAAATATACTCACCAGACACAAAAGCAAAAGATGTCTGCAGTCCAAAACTGACTGAACATGCAATCAAGATCAGCAATAAAATTACTGGAAAATATGGTCTTGGTGACAGAAAAAAAATTGAAGACTGCATTATAAAATTTTACACAATCAACAATTTACATTGAAAATACCCTCTAAAAAAATATAAATGGTGATTAAACACATGAATCTCATCTGATGGAATTCACAGCAACCTGAGTGACTACAGCTGAGAAAACAGACAATGGAGAAGCTCAGAATCAGCAACGAAAACAAGGTGAGGGGCCAATCATTAACTACTAAAAGGAAAATCAAACTGAAACTTAAAAAAAAAAAAAAAAAGGAAATTATGACAAGAGTTTATCCCACCTGAACTTAAGAACTATCTCAAGAATAGATCTGTTGTACTGAAAAAGAACATTCAAAGACCAGATGAACGGCGGGATGGCATGAAGGACATCATCAATTTAGAAAGTAAACGCTCATTATAAAGAAAGAAAAGGCCAACCTGTATGTCAGAAAACTCTCTGCAAGTTCCTCTTCAACAGAGAAGTCAAAATGAAGGGAAGAAAGGAAGAGAACTGAATAGAAGATGAAGCAAAGTTTCATCATGAAATGTACAAAGGCCAGAAGCTAAAAAACCCATTAAGGGAAGAATACTTTTGGCATTGCTCATGCTGAAGAACTAAACACAAAATTGAATCTGGAAGCTGAAGGACTCCATGAGCAAAATCTTTAATGATGCAGAAAGCATCAAAAGAATATGGAAGGAATATACACAGTCACTGACCAGAAAGAATTAGCTGATATAAAACTATTTTAGGAAGTAGCATGTAATCAAGAACCAATGCTATTAAAAGATTAAGTTCAAGACATATTGAAGGTACTGGAAAAAACAAAAGGCTCCAGGAATTGATGAGGAACAACTGAAGTGATGAGGAACAATTGAAGTGCTTCAGCAAACAGATGCAGGCTTGGACATGGTCACTTGTCTATGGTAAGTACACTTGGAAGAAAGCTACTTGGCCAACTGATAAAACCCAAGACTATATACTTCTATACAGATTACTTTTCAACATAAAAAAAAAAATTCCTGACAAATGGAGACAAGTCATCGTATTAAACTTAGATCCAGAGAATATGGATAAAAAGTTAAAATTCCTTCCCATCTGTATTCCCTAGAGATAATGTTGAGATTTATAAACATAAGAAATTAATTTCCTCTATATGATCTCAGAAATTTTAATTACACTGTATCAGTAGGATTAACACATTTTGGTATTCTATATAACTCTCCAGCATTGAGGACTCTCCTTCATAGGGTCGCTATGAGTCGCCTACGACTGGAAGGCACTTCACCACCACCACCACAACAACGTAACTCTCTAATTACTATTCAATAATCTTACCTGAGCTGATCAGATTTTGCCTGGCCTTTAAAAAGCCTTTGGGTTGCCAGTCTGGGGCTATTTCCAGGATGGGAAGATGAGGAGAACAGCCAGATTCTGCAGAGGTGTATTTTCTGGTTTGGGTTTGAGACTAGGGTGTGGCTCTTGCTCACAACAGGGTGTGAGCTGATCAGATTTGGCCTCACCTTTTAAAAGGGTTTTGGGCCCTCAGGCCAAAACTCACCAGGGTGGGTACAAAAGTTTAGGGTGTTATGGGAAATAAAAATGGAGGTTGCATCATATCTTAGGTACTGGTGTCCCTGCCCTTCACTGGACACTTCCAACTTATCCTGGGATACACCTGGGGCCCCTGACCTGCCACCATGAAGCCTGTGGCCATTGTCTGGTTTTTGGCAGCCCCTCTTCCCTGACCAAACTCTTCCAACACCTTTAAGCCATTACAGCTCAACCTCTCATGCTGCCTTTGGCCTTGAATCATGCTACCATCACCTTGTGCTCTCCAGTCAGCTCAATAGGTCTTAGATGATTGAGACAAGACATTCTACAGCCAATTACCAAATATCCTTCATGGAATCCATCACTGGGACGACAGACTGGTCTTTCATTCAGGATGATTCATGGAAGGTGCTTCAGGCGTGGCCACAGCTCCATCTAGACTACCAGTGGCAAGGCACTGGCTGAGAATTTTTCAAAGTTGTGTTCTATTCTTAAAAAGCTTAATATTTTTGGTTTCTGCAGTTACTTGGCAAATATCTGTCACGTAACTGAATAATTATTATAATAATTTCCTAAATACTGAAATATTAATTATAGAACTTTTAACGTGAAAATAAATCAAGTTAGGACATGATGAACTGGGTTGTTAAACAATCTCTTTTTTTTTTTATTTTTGTATAAACAAGTGTACCAGTACTTACTTTATTAGCCTGAATCAAATGAAAATCCTTTCCATAGGCCTTTAATCCTTGTTCAAAATTTCTACACTCTTCTTCTGTCCAAACAGATAATTCCTCTGATAGAACAGGAAGAAAGAAAACTACTTAGCCATATTTTTCTAAATATGACATAAACAAAATTATATAATTTCTCTGAAGATATATCACTGATCACCACAAAAGAGGATGACAAATATTTTTTTAATTCAGTAATATTTAAAAAATCTGATTCTTACCTATAGATTCTCAACTTGGGAGTACTTTCTGCTTTATTTTTAATGGTCTGAGTATACTGCTAGCTAGGCACTTTTCAATTTTTTAGTTTTGCTGTGTTCTTGTATCTGCAGATTTTGTGCACACTGTTCTCTATGCTTTGGATCCCTGTCTCTGATCTCAACTACCTTCAATTAATTAATTCCTTTAATATCTAGAAAAATTTAACTGTCTACATACTCTAATTCACCTTGCATAAACACATCTCAACTAGTTTTCATTTCCTTATCCAGTGTGTAAGCACCATGAAGGAGTCTTTGTTTACAGATATACTCTCAGAAAATAGGTGATTTCCAAATATTTGTGGAATAAATATGAAAAAAATATAATTAATAACTTTTCGTGAAGCAGGATAAGAAGCCAAGTTAAAAGAAAAAATTTTCATTCCATAACTAAATTCATTATTTATTAATTTATTTACTCAGACGCTTTTTCTGAAGAAATACCATATCCACTACTATACAGCTTATACAAGATCAGATACAGTAATTATTGAAAAGCTCTGAAATTTTAAAATGTTATTTGGAGCAGCAGAGGTAAAATAGCCTAAGAATTAAAAGGAAGAAATGGAATATATACCTAACTGCCTCCATGAACAACTACCTTCTGTGCCATGAGACCAGAAGAAATGAGGGGATCTGGCTACTATCTCATTATTTTGATCCAAGATTCTGTAATAGAATCCTAACCAAAAAGGAAAAAATGTAGAATAGAATTTCAAATTCTTAAGGAAACCAGAACTTTGAATTATCAAGGGATTTTCTGAGACTTTGAAAATGGACTGATTCCCTGACAATATTACTCTGAGTAAACCTTTAAGCTTGAAATAGAAATTATTCTCTGAAGTCATCTTTAAAACAAGTTCAATTTAATAAATGTTTCCCTTTATATTGTGTTTTTGAAAAAAATTATCTATAGATTACAAAAGCAACTTTAAAAAGAATGATTAGATGAAAATCTAAGATAACAGAGGCTAAAGTTGGTTAAAACAATTTGGAAACAGTTACCAAGAAAGAAAGATGATGGCACAACTTGAAGAATGAAATAAAATATTAATTGTATATGCAGACACCATTAAACGGACATAAGCTTAGATGTGTATTTACACAAATACACACAAAGTGGGGGGAAAAAGTATTACATACAGCCTGTTTTCCCATTAAAATCTGTGTAAAAGGACAACCTTAACCCCACTTCCCTTAATGTTTCATATTAGGATCAGTAATCTAGAATTCATAAAAATCAGTATGATTAAGCTGAAGACACAGACTAGAGCTTAAGTTTTAAACGTCTACTCTACGATGAAAAGAAACCCATTTAATAGTTATACTTACCTCTAGCAGCTTTTACATTAAATCTTAATCTCCTTAATGCTTCTTCGGTATCAAAACTGCATTTAACTAATTCATATAAAGCCTAAAATAAATTAAAAAAAAGTTTCAATATGTGACCTGAACAATTAATTCAGTTCAATATTATAAATAAAAGCTTTTTCAGAATACTGTTTTCATCGTTTGCAAAGGTCAAATCAAGTCCCGTAAATACAGTAAGCATACATACATAAGAACATCAAGGAAAAATTTTGTAGCTGTTCTGAGCTGAAGTTATACCAATGAAGTATGGTAGCACTAGATTAATTTATGCTGATCACAAACTGATTTTGTTAAAAGATCCTATTAGAGAAATTAGTAACAGTCAAAGTTAAAACATATAACTTAGAAATGTTTTTGCTTATTTTCTAAAAACTCAAGTTATTTTTCGTTAATTTTACCTGTTCATTGTCTTTTATATGAGAGCCTTCAGGAATTGCTTCTACACCTTTCTCATCACCTGTTCTTCTAGATGCATCCTTAAGAAATGCAATCACTTTATCTTCTGGTAAATATTCAGGGTCCCACAGAAGCTGATCATCGTTTTCATACACTAATTAGGTAAAAATATTTTTTAAATTCCACAATTTATATAGCTGTGTTAAGGACACAGTTGTTAAATCAAAAAACATACATGGTAGAACTGTGATATAGGCATTTGGATGCTAACAAAAAGGTTAGCAATTTGAACTTACCAGCCAGTCTACATGAGAAAGACTAAGGAATTGGCTTACAAAAAGATTTAAAGCCTTGAAAACCCTATGGAACCGTCTACTGTGTCTTATAGAGTTACAGAATCAACTTGATGGCAGTGAGTTTAAACCAAATGAGAAAAACTAAGAGGTAAAGTGTGGCCTGACTACTTGCTCAACATTTTCTTAGGCACCAATTACCGTATAAGCCAATTAAGCAATCAGAGAATAACACAATACTTTTTGTACATTGGTCCAGTCTGAGTTTACTAAATTCCAAGGTCTCTTCCTTTGAGTTATGTCCATACTACTTACTACCTAGGTCCTTGGGAAGGTTACTTCCTTCTACTTGGGGTGTCAGAATCCTTAAAAATTGACTTTTCAGGGGAGCTCTGGTGGCCTAGTGGCAAGGAGTTGCAACTACAATCCCAGAGGCGCACAGTTCGAATCCACCAGATGCTCTGCCGAGGAAGGAGGGACAATCTCCTCCTGTACCAGTCAGATCTGATTTGACGGTACACTCACACAAAAATAATAATAAAAAAAAAAGAAAAATAAAAATTGGCTTTTCTAGCCATTACTTTAGTCCTCCTTACAGGGGGTATAGCCTCCAGCTACTTTAACTGTGGACACATGGTCTTGCAAATCATCAACAGCTGTAGGATCAATACATAAAGCGAACTTTATACATTGTGAGGCATCCTGGGGATGGTGGTGGAAGAGGGTAGTGGAGACTGGCAAGGCGAAACCAGAGGAACCCTGAATTCATGATACAGTTAAGGTTTTGCTTGCCAAATGATTAAAGGAAAAGATGACTTATAACTAACTGCTCAAACATGAAACCACGCTTGCAGGCTGATTAAGGAAACCAGAAGCTTCTTGCATTTGTGCTGTAGAAGTGAAACTGGACTGTCACTAACTCGGAACTGTGCTTTGTTTATCTGGCTTGGGACTACTAAACCTCAACTTGCACTATGTGACAATCTTTCTCTTTCAACTCTCCAACCTATATCCCTTAAAAACCTCAAAACTGTAAGTAAAGTCTTTAAGTCAACAACAAATATTGGACCCTGACTGGTAGGAAGAGGTGGCTGTGTGTGTGTGTGTGTGTACTGTCTGGAAGAGATGGCTCTGTGTGCGTGTGTGTGTGTACTGTCTGGTCCTATGGTCAGGAACACCATGGAAGGCCTCTGAAAGTAAATCAAAACTGCCTAAGAAAGTGAATGAGTGTACCATATAGGAATTCAAACAGAAAAACGCACTAGTGGTTATGCAGTATCTCAGGTATTTACAGAGTTTAATTTTATATTAATTGCTTCATTTCTGCTATTCCCTGTTTTCTATATTACTTTTAGAGAAATTCTTAAATCCTGATATAAAAGCTAAAAAAACAAAAACAAAACAAAAAAAAAAAAACAAACCCCAACCACCACCAATGCTGATACTGAACTTGTAGTTTCAGAAACAGTTCCCTTATGAAAGAGGCAGAAGTCAGAGTAAGCCACCCCCACGTTTTATCGGCTTCCTTTCACACCACCTCATCTATAAAATAGAGATGACTAACCATTCTCTCTTGTGAGAGTTAATAAAAGGTTTAAAGTAGTTTTCTGGCTCATCCAAAGGTTCCATAGATGTCACATAGATATGATTTTTTTAAAAAAACACAGATGTCTATGCACATCAAATGTTAACACTATTTCCAGGTGGCAGGATTTTGGGAGTGGAGGTGGCAATATACTACCTTTTAAAAAACATTCAAGAGTGTAAAAGTAACATTTTGAAAGATCACAACCAATGAAATACAGTAGATTTTTTTGAAGCAATTTCATCTAAATGATTTAATGTCAGTAAGAACTTTAAAAATAAAATATATCCATCTTTCACTGACCTGCAATTAACAGAAGTGCTTACGTAGTATATTAACTAAGGTCACTCAGTATTTATTACTCTAACATGTTCATACATCATCAGGGAGTCCTGTTAAAATGCAAATTCTGACTGAGCAGTCTGAGATGAAGCCCTAGAGTCTTTATTTTACATAAATTCACAGGTGAATATGATGATGCTGATGATCTGGGCTACACTTTATGTAACTATTAGAGGGTATTTATAAAAATTAATTTTTCGTTTTTCTTATTAATATTTAAGATACTGAAATTACTTATCAGTTATTTTATCAGTAGTTGTATTTTTTTATCAAGAATAGTGTAAAGAAAAAAATCAAAGGTAACGAAATTAAGCTTGTCAATAAGCAAAAAGAGTTGTCCTTTTTAATTGTCGAATTTAATTTTTGTGTGTGTATCCATCCATAAAGAATGACCTCCAAAGGAAAAAAGCTGATGCAAAAAGTCAAGAGGACATCACAATTAAAATATACAAAACCTGTGCTAATCTGGAAAATTAATTCCTAATGAGCAAATGTCTACTTATTAACTACCAGTTTTATTCAAAATAAGAAACCCTGCTATCATAGTAAATTGTGTGTTGAGTTGCTAACGGAAATGTTGGCAGTTTGACCCACCAGTCCAATAAAGGGATATAGATGGGGCAGTTTAATTTCTGGATTTACTCAGAAACCCACCTGAGGGTCACCATGAGTTGATATGAAATTGCCAAGAGTAAGTCTGGATATGCGTTATTCAAAGAAATATTCCATTTTTAACTTTCATGTCAAACTTAAGGAGCCGTGATGGTATACTTTTAAACCAAAGAAAATCCACTGGAGCTATCAGTCAGAACCAATTTGAAGACAATAAGGAACATCGAGGACAATAAGACAATCAACTAGCATGGGGGGGGGGGGGATTAGCATCCCTGTGCGTGTGATAATGGGTTTATAAAACTAATCATCTTATTCTTTAAAAAGTCACAGAGATTAATGATAAGAACTTTTTAAGTTTCTTAGCTTTTTCTGCATATAGGTTACAAGAAATGCCTGTTTTAATAGCACTACCATATCAACTAAGAGTGGTGGTGGTGGTTCTTAACTGCAGTCAAGTCGGCACAACTCATAGTAACCCTATAGAAGGCCTGGAGCCTTTCTATAACTATCATCTTTTATCAAAGTTCATACAGTTTCGAGAAGCAAGTTGGTTAGGAAGTGGATGCCACTCCTGCTTCCAGCTAAGGGCAGCACATTTATTTAGTTTTCAATTAAGTAGCTTTACAATGCCAAAACATTCATTAGGAAAAAATCATACTGTCCCTTTCTATTTGCTGCTTTATAATAATTTATTTATTCTAAAACTTTATATTATGTATGAAAAATTAACTGGATAGCAGTATCTTTAATTATTCCGTTCCCTTAGCCTTTTTCTTTTTTATCTTTACTGGTTTATTTACTTTTCATTTAATCCAGCCAGGGTTTATAAGCTTAACACAATCAGCATTTTTGGTTAGATCATTTTTTTTGGAAGATGAGGTAGTCTTGGGTTTACCAGCATTGTTTATCAAATCACCAAGCTACAATGTTTACCGAATTTAGCATATGGTATGAAAACCAAAAACCTTAACTCTTAAGCCTCCCCCCCCAAAAAAACCCTCACCCTAGAAAAGACAATGTTTTTCATTTGTTGAGCATCTCTAAGAAGTAAGCCATTTCTCACATGGCTTGGGTATGACTGTCTGAAGACTAGTCAGAACAGTCACTTATCACTGGTTACAAGGATTACTTTTGATCAGATATAACTCAAACTGAGTCAGTTAAGGATTCTCTCCAAACCTGCTTCTCTAGATGTAAGGAGAATGTAAAGTGTAAGCCTAGCACTCCCAGGTACCATATTAACCTATCTGACAACAAAGAAAAGACATAGGAGGAAATTGGATAGCATCACAGTTTCCTAAATCCAGTTATATTTTAAACCAGTCAAGCCCAAAACTTCTAGTCAAGCAAGTGGATAAATTTTTTTGCTTAAGCTAATTCAGTTTAGTTTTTTCTTCTCTAACACTTAACAAAAAGGAAATCAGTTACTTCTCTCTGAAAGTCTGAATAAAACTTATACAGAAAAAAGTAATCTTTGTTAAGTAAGAACACTACTTACTGAGTACTAGTATTTGCCAGACACTATGCTACATGATTTACATTATTTTATTTTGCATGAACTCTTAATTAACAGTTCTGTGTCTAAATGTAGTTTATAGAGGAGAAAGAGATAAAATATAGCCTGTCAAGAGTAAAGCCAACTTTTCAAATTATAAAACTAAATACAAGTCAATGGATCTGGTTTTGCACGTAATTGCAATGCGTTCATAGCATATATCCACAAAATTTATATATGTAACAGGGTCACTTGGTATTGATAGTTTTTTATGTTTCCATATGTGGCAGGAATTAATTTGAAAATGAGCACAAGCTTTCACAGGGTTAGAACATTTTTACTGTCATTAAAATTCACTGGCCTAGATGTTCCCTTGCCTGCCTCTGTCTTTGCCTGTCCATGAAAGCAGGGATCTACTTAATAGAAGACTTTGTATTGTGGTTTGTTTTTTTTTAAATTTTTAAATTTTATTTTTATTATTTGTGTCTGTGTGTACCGTCAAATCAGATTTGACTGGTAGAGGAGATTGTTCCTCCCTCTCCAGCAAAGCATCTGGTGGATTTGAACTGCTCACCTCTCAGATTGCAGTGCAGCTTCTTGCCACTAGGCCACCAGAGCTTGCTCAAAAGGTAAGTTTTGAGAGGAAATACTAGGAAGAAAACAAACTTCTACAACTTCAAAAACAAAACAAAATGAAACCCAATGTCATCATGTGGCTTCTGAGTGATGACGACCCTTGGTTTCCAAATCTTAATGGGAGATGACTACACATCTTTCTCCACAGCGTGGCTGGTGGATCTGAACCACTAAGCTTGTAGTTAACAGTCCAGTTGTAATGAATGCACTGTCAGCAGGGCTCCTTGTAAGTCCAAAAGGGCCTATATTTGTAAAGCTAAAATGTGGTGGGAAAAACTCAAATGAAGAAAATGAAGAAAGACCTTGAGTTTTAGGTGATGTCACACTGCATGTGAAATCATTAGACAGATAAATAACATTCTTTCAGAAAATCAACCAAGTAAATAATCTGAAAGCAATTACAAAAACAAAACAAAACCAAAAACAAATAACCACTTTAAATTATTAAGGTTATTGGAAAGAATAAGAAAAACAAATTACATCTTTTTAGTCAAATGATACAAAAAAATCTTATAAAATCTAATTGTATAAAATTTCTTCAAATTATCCTAAAAGTATAACTATTAAAGTACTCAATTTTAATAAGTCCTATTAAAAGATTCAGAAGCTGGTGAGCTCTAGTGGCCTACTGGCAAAAAGTTGCAGTGCAGAGGAGTGCAGTTCGTTCGAATCCACCAGATGCTCTGCTGGAGGGGGGACAATCTCCTGTACCAGTCAGATCTGATTTGACAGTACACATACATAAAATAATTTAAAAAAAAGAAAAAGATGATTCAGAAGCAAATAAACACTATCCGTTGTTTCCTCGTTTTCTTTTAATATCCCATAAAACTTCCAGACATAAATACCCTTTAAAAAAGAAATTAGAAATAAAAAGGGTTCAACAACAACAACAAAAAAAAACACCACTGGTGGGGGGAGCTGAAGCATTCTGAGTCACTTAAAACTTAAACAACAAACAAAAAAACCCACAAAAATCCCTTTATATACTTCTCCTTCACCTTGAATCCCAAGGACAAAATTGGAAAAGTCGTGATGATATTCTTACAGAAATAAGGAAGAGTTCATGGGCTTTTGAATTCTGATCCATTCCAGATATTAAAATAACATTTCTAAAACACAAGGTTCAGCTATATAATTTAAAACCCACCTTTTTCATTTTCTTTATATCTACAAACACCAACTGGAATCTCTGCTTGGAAAACGGAGCCAACCATAATCTCCTGTTTTAAATATAAAATATTAGTAAGATATAATAATAAATATGTAAATACAGTAATGAATACCAACTTTAAAAGTACAGAGAAAAATATATTCCTTTAATGCAATTATTAAGAGAAATGTAAAAAGAATATGATCCTTGAACCTGAAGCAACAGTATCAACCTAGGAAACAGAAATCTCAATCAGAAACTGTGGGGATAAGACCAAGCAATCTGTTTCTTAACAAGGCCTCTGGGTGATTTAAGACTTAACTCTAAGAACCAGAGGTATAAAGTAAGGGAATAACAAAAAAGCTTTTATAAAACTCAATTCAGGCCAGATGGAGGAAATGCCAAACAAAACAGAAAGCAGGTTAGTGCCTGACTTTCAACAAACCACCACCAAATAAAAAGCTACATCTCCCCCTGAGGAAAAGGAAAAAAAAACCTACACAAATTAAAAAATCACATTTGGTAAAATAAAATCAAATTGGAGTAAACGGGCTATCAGAGGCCACTGAAGAAAAATCTAAGCAGAGACCTGTGTAGCCGCCTCTGGACTAAGTGTTATTTTCAAAATAAAGGCTTGGTGGGTAAAGCTCAAAATGGAAAGTGTACTATGTCTAGTTAACTATAAAAATGTAAAAGTTGCCTTCTTCTATTACTTTATTAACCATTACTGAAGATAAAGGAGCTCTGGTGGCTTAACAGTAAGGAGTTGCACTGGCAACATAGATCTAGGTGTTCAAATCCATGAGCTGCTCTGGCCATCTCCCGTGCCAATTTGTAGCCTCTGAAAGTCAGCTGAAGGGTTAGCTAATAATTAGTTCCAACTTCAGAACACATAACAGTAACAATGAAGTTAGGGTCTCACTTAATTTAATATAAATTTAAGAAAAAGTTCTATGTAATTTTATTATTGGTGATGGTATAAAAATCTTTCTCTTAGTTTTTCTCCAATCTTACATAAGGATTTCCCATGTTTCTGACTAAAAGTTTTCCACTATAAAAGTGCATTCTATTGCACCTTATTGTATGACCTTTTTACACACTTATTCCTAGCAGAGAACAGATTATTAATCCTGGCTGGGTAACTTCTAAAAGTTATTAATGGAATTCTGATGGGGCACACACTATAGAGTTGCATTACTAACCCAATGGCAATCTGAAATCGCCAGCAGCTCCTCAGGAGCAATGAGCTCTAGCAAATTACAACCTCTAAAACCTGCTGGAGTGTCAGAGCTACAAGTCAGTTCTGATTCAAAGGCAGTAAGTCTGAGTAAAGTTGGACTCCAGACCAAATAAAAGAATAAAGACTTCGTCATCAGTAAGTCTGGACTAAGAAAGTCTAAAGTACAGATACGAACCTGCTGGGTTTAGAATATGGTTCATCTGCTAGTTTATTCTGTAGGCAAGTCTTTAATGAGCACTTCAGAAATGCTAAATGGAAAGTTTATTAAATTCTTACCAAACTCCGTAAGACTAACCTTGTTATTCTCATATTATACATAGGAAGTTTTTTTAAAAAAAACTTTAAAAAAAAAAAAAAAAGTTAAGTAATTTCCTCAATACCAAATAGTCAGTTTGGGATATAGAACTTGAACCAAAATTGGACTTTTAAAAACGGTTTCCTCAAACATTCAACATTGTGCTTCTCTTCCCTTACCATTCTAAACCCACTGATATTTTTTGTTACAGCTTTTTTGTATATTCCATTTAATATATAATTATGCATTTACTAATGGCCTATAATGTCTCTCAATTTATGTAGTGTAACTTTCAACTTTACTAACCTATTCTTACCAATGATCATTTACTCCCTCTGCAAAAACAGGTTCTTTTGGAGGAAAGGAACCACCTGTTTCTATTAAAAGCTTTGCAAACAACAGATGCAATCACTGAATGCAGAAATCTATGCCTTAGCAACTCTTTAACACTTCAGGCAACGATTAGTGAAAGTTGAGAGGCAAACGTCTCTCAGAAACATCCCTCTGCAAACCCATAAAGGGATGCTCAGTCTGAATTCATGTGAATACGTCATCTTCCTAACAGAAACTCTGAACATAAAATTGTGTCTCATTTTACTTAGGAAAAGAATCAGTTTATAAGTTTTCCCAAGAAATACTAAACCAATTAAAAAAAAAAAATTACTATCTATAAGGTTCAAGGGAACTCTAGTGCTTAGTGTTAAGGAACTGTGCTGTCAATGCAAAGACACATGGCTTGAATTCATCAGCTGCTCAGTGAGCGAATGATGGACAATCTCCTCTGTGAGCTGTACTGCCTCTGAAAATCCACTGAGGGTCACTCGATGGTACATACATCAACAATATAAGGTTCAAATAAGGCATTCTGGTGGCTCAGTGGTAAGGAGCTGTTTTGTCACCCCAAAGGCTTGTGGTTCAAATCCATCAAATGCTCCAGAGTAGAAAGATGAGTAATGGCTCACGGGATTTACTGTCTCTGAAAACCCACTAGAAGATTAGCTAGAAGTTGGTCAAGTAGTTGTTGCTGTATAAGAACAAAAACAAGTTAAAAAGTACTAAATAAGCAAACATAACTCAAGTCTGCTCAATTTGATTGTTCAAAAGGTTATTACGGTATTATGGTTATCACAGGGGTCCAGAATGAAGGCTGCATAGTGAAGTGTACTCGGGGCGGGGTGGGGTGGGGGATTGTATACCAATGAAGGAATTTTTCTTTTTTCTTTTCAGAGAGAGGAGAGAGCTGGCGGGAAGGGGTGGGAAGGGAGAGAAGGGCAACAATGAATGAATGGAAATCCAGGATCTGTAAATGTTCATTAAAATCAGTTTAAAAAAAATGGGACTGACATCAGGTTTAGGGGGAGCCTAAGAAAAGAGGAGATAAATAATGTATACTGCATTGAAACAGATGAGGGAGAGAACTGTTTAAAAGGAATATAGGATATTATTTTCATACAAGATTACAAAAAAATAAATTCATATTAAGGTGGGGGAAAAGTTACCATTTCCAAATCAATATTGTTAATACATTAAATTTAGTATCAGACCTAGGAAAAACAATCAAAACCCCAATAAATGATTTTATGGAGGAAATCAAATGGTCTAGTAATAAGAATGACATTTCTTTCACATAAATGATTTTTTTTCCCCCTCGGTGACAAAGTATTTTATTAATTTCGTTTCTTATTCTTTACAAAAGTTGGTGAAAACAAGAGTTAATATTTGGCTAAATGGCACTTATTATTCATTTCCACTTTATACTGTTTGAATTTTTATACCACAGAGCCTAGATAGCTAACTAAGCATTACATTTTCCAAACTCCTCTGCAGCTAAGGATGTTAATGCAAATAAGACTATTTTCTATTTTTAAGAAAGATCGTGAACTTGTAGCCAAACTCTAGTCTTTTACTTTTTGTTGTTCAGAATCCTATGATGTTCACAATTTGTACAAGGATAACACCTCTGCTGAGCTTATTTTTCTTTTTTCAATTTAACTATTACGTTTAATTAAACAGTTCTACATAATTTTGAGCCAACTTGACTTACCTAACAACTATATATTTATAATTAAAAATAAACCTATGCTAGTATCTTTCTATTTTTTATAAATTTTATTTTTATACTGTAGGAAAATATAGTCCAAATATTATTTACTGAACAATGTATCTGCTTGTGGTAAGACTCATGTTTTTCCCCCTCCATCATCTTGAGCTTTTTCTAAGAAATAAAACATTTCTTCATTTCAGTTAGCTCTCTTAATGCATTAAAATTATTATAGTTTCTGAGTGAACATTTACACAATAAAGCAGGTTCCCTTGGAATATTTTCATACAAATTTCTCTGTAACACTGATTACAATTTTCATTATTTCCATTCTGTTCACCCTTTTCATTGATCTAGATTCTTTTCTATCTTTGTTTTTTGGGTTAATGTAATCCATCTGTTATCTTTTAGTTACTATAGTTACTAGTTTAAGGGACATACTGTTCACAAATGACTATAATCTTACTGTTTGACTGAAAAGTGACTTCTGGAACTGGTTTCAATTCTAGGTTAAAAAAGTAACTTATTCTATGAATTTGAGTTTTATTCTGCCTTTTTAACCTACTCTGGGACCTCTTACCATGACCCTGGAAAGAATAGCTAGTGGCAGAGTCAGGCTCCACCTAGTTCATCATGTATCATGTAGGCTATTAGTCCTATAGTGTAATCTCTTCTCTGAATCTTTGATTATCTCCAATCTCTATTCCAGGAGAACATATTTGCATTTATATTGCCATTTACAAGTTTTTAAGATCCTAGATCACTAACTATATGAACATAAGTTGCTAATAAGGTACATAAGGAAACAGCAGCATTTGGGAGACAACATGCAAAAAAGGTGTGTAGACTACCAACCAGGAGATGGTTGTGTTTTGGGCTTTTTTCCCGTCTTGTCAAGCTTAAATTGAGCAGGTTCAGCAGAACAAAGGGATTACAGGACAATTACAGCAGCATAGGTAGCAGAAAATCACACAATGATTTAAGAGTGCCTTGGCCTAGGCTTACTAATGGAGTGGGACCACATAAACGACAAACTAAAAGAGTTTTGTAGATATATGCCCAAAATAAGGGAAAAACCAAAATCTGAGAAGACTGCTAGGGTTGCAAGGGCAGGGCCCAGAGAACCACAAGGCAGGGCTTAAGGTCAAAAGGTCTGTCTGCAATCACACCAGAGAAGTAGCCGCCTTGATAAAGAATCAGATCCTGGGTGTATCTAATCTGAACTGTAACCAATCACTGCCCTAATGAACCCAAAATTGTTAAGTTTTTGGTTTTTTAAGTACTGTTTTTGAGTTCTGTGTGACCACTGCAACAATTTTTAATTTCTAATCAATATTTAATCAATTTTTTAATTGAACCTAGTAGTAGTGAACCTAGTAGTAGTGTAGTTAGAGTCATGGGAAGAACTACTGTAGTTATGTACCATCAAGCAGAACAGACACAAAGCTGACCTTCCAGCAGGTTTTCAGAGGCAGCAATTGTATAAGAGATTGCCCATCTTTCTCTAGCAGATCAGCTGGTGAATTCAAACTAGGTAACTTTGGGTAGCCAGCACAATTCTTTATCACTACACCACCAGAGCTCCCTATGGGAGAGACGGCTGGTATTAAAACTGATAAAAGAAGGTGTGGGTATATAGAGGCATGTCTAATGGAAGAACAGCCCTTGTGTCACTGATGTGCTATAAATGAATTCTACTTTCGAGTAATTAATGGAGGTAAGGTATGGCTACTGGCATGCCATCGTCACTGTTTCTACAATAAACTTTTTACATCACGTGTTTTACAGAAAATAATATATTTTTGTGTTTATATATTCCTAATTTGTAATAGTGGGATCTGTTATAAACAGCACTGGTCCTTTTCTTGGTCATCAATTTATTTCACTCAACAGTGTCCTACAGATTCATCTGTTGTGTTTTACAGACAAATTTTATTTTAGAAATTAACTTATTGTTTATAGTTAGAGAAAAATCTGTCTATTCAAATAATTTATAAATCCTACCTATCGATACTGAACATATCTTGAAAGTTTTTCTCTGTAAAATTTAAGTTAAAATATTGCTAATCTAAATTAGGAAACAAAATTTACTTAAGATTTACTGAAGCCACCATGATGACTTTAAAGTATAAAAACTACATGTCATACTTTTTACATGGCAACAAAAGTCTAACTCAGTTCTAACTTTAGGATTAGTTTGGAAATCTGGAATAATGTGGGCTAGATCACAGATTTGCTCAATAAATTTTTATTTTCTCCAATAATATTCTCTCATAAAAAAATTTCTCTCATCTGGATATATATATACAAAGGGGAAGACAATATTTAGCAGCTACCTGAATCTTATTAAAATAATTCTCAATTTTATTATTAACATAGAAGAATGACGACATTTTGCCTTTTTATATTAACTTAAATTTAGGGAAATATGGTTAAAAATACCTTTTTCCAGTCTTCTGATGGAATGTAATCTTCATCTTCTTCAGATTCTTCTTCTATTTCACTATCTAGAATGAATAAGATAATACTATGGAAGGACTGTTTAGCCTTTCCACTTCCATTTAAATATATTAGTTTTATAACTACCGCCAATACCCAAAGGTATTTCTGGAGTTAGGCCAACACATTTCAAATAAAATCATCAATGTCCTGTCACTAAAGGAGAAGAAAAAGAAACTTTTTCTTTCTAATCTACTCTCATAAAGTTTTCTACAAAAAAAAATTTATTTAGAGTCAAGATAATATGTTTATAATTCCATTTTTGTTACCAACATCCTCTGACAAAGCAATTATTCGTTTCACTTACAAGGATTTTAAGAGAAAACAGAAGCTTTCAAACCTTGCTCCTCGGAACATGATTATGTAAAACAGCATTCTCCAGGTATTATGCAAAGTGAAGGGTATGTTATAAAGACGTTTTTCTCTCCAATATTTGCTTCAATCAGAAATGACAAGCTGCTGTTTACATTAGGAACAGAAAAGCACTTTTAAGGAGGTGGAAAGTCTGAAAACTACTGAATTGTTAGCATCTTCTCTATCCAAACACTGCTTTATAACAAAAGATCCTGTATACACACACACAAATTCTTCCTATGGAAAAGGTTAGTAGTGCATGTATAGCCAATCTGCAAGCCTTTAAAACCGAAATACCAAACAAGCAGCTTGAAATATTTCAAGGCTCTCTGATCCCCGTCAATCAACAGACTCTGCCCTCTCTTCTCATGGAGCCTTGGCCACATTCCTGAGACACAAGGTGAAAGTTGGAGCAAATGGATTTGGCCACCGGGTCACCAGGACTGCTTTTAACTTTGGCAAAGTGGATGTTGTTGCCATCAATGACTAACGACCTCAACTACACAATCTGTATGTTCCAGTATAATTCCAACCATGGAAAATTCAATGGCACTGTCGAGACTGAGAAGGGGAAGCTGGGTCCCCAATGAGAAAGCAATCAACTATCTTCCAGGAATGCAACCTCGCCCATATCAAGTGGGGTGATACTGGTGCTATGTTGTGGAGTCCACTGTTGTCTTCACAATCTTGGAGAAGGTGAGGCGCTCTTAAAGGGTGGTAACTGTCTTTGCCCTTTTGTTGATGCCAGAATGTTTGTGATAGGCTTTAACCATGAGAATTATGACAACTCTCTCAAGATTGTCAGCAATGTCTCCAGCACTATTTGGCATTATTTTGCAACTGTTTGGCCATTCTGGCCAATGTCATCCATGACAACTTTAGCTTCATAGAGGTACACTTGACCAAAGGCCAAAGCTATCACTGCCACCCAGAAGACCATAGATAACCCCTCTGGAAAGCTGTAGCATGATCGTGGAGCTGCATTTACTGGAGGTGCCAAGGCTCATCCCTGAGCTGAATGCGAAACTTCCTGGCAAGTCCTTCGTGTCCAGACCCTTAATGTGTCAGTCATGGATCTGACCTGCTGTCTGCAGAAAGGTGCTAAATATGATGACATCAAGAAAGTGGTAAAGCAGACACCAGAAGGGCCTCTCAAGGGCATCTTGGGATACACGGAAGACCATGCTGCCTGTGACTTTAACAGTGACACCCACTCTTCTACCTTTGATGCTGGAGTTGACACTGCCCTGAATGATTTTGCTGTAACAATTAATTTGACTACAGCAACCAGGCCGTCGACCTGAGGGTTCACATGGCCTCCAAAGAGTAAGAACCCCTTGGAACACCAGCCCCAGCAATAGCACTAGGAAAGAGAGAGACCCTCAGCTTCTGGGGAGTTCTTGCCCCAACTTGATCACCCCCATACAATGAGAATCTCACATCCTGGACACAGTTTCCATGCAGTCCCCCTTGACCTATCTTGACCTGTACCCTCAATAAAGTACACTGTACTTAGAAGGGGGGCAAAAAAGCAAAGTATTGTTTCAAAAAATCACTTAACGTTCACTTTAATTAAAAAGCAAAACCAAACACTGGCAATAGATATGCATGCAAAGAAAAAAGGATCACAGCTAGTCCTCCAAATTTAAAATTAAACAATTGCAACTGTCCTGTTTTTCATTCGTCACAAATAGTTCTATCTACTTTTTAACGCTAAAAAGTTAAGACTACAAAAATGTACTAACACTGGTAGTTGACTAGTTCTTATAAAACAGCCATCTCCTAGAGGGAAACAATATGCTTAGAATACATATGGCAGAACAAAGAAAGAATAAAAACATTTAAGATACTCATAAAATCTAGTCTTGACTGCAGGCTGTCTTACATCCACTGCTGAATTCATTGTGTCAATCCATCTGATTGAGGGTCCTCCCTCTTTCACCATGCTTCCACCTTGTATCTCCATTATGTCCCTCTCCAAGGAATAGCCTCTCCTAGCAACATGCCCTAAGTATGTGACATTAAGCTTTATCATCTGTCTCAGAGAAGCACTCTGGCCTCACCGAACCTTTTCCAAGACCTATCTACTTTTTCTTTTGGCAAACTATCGGATATACAGTATTCTTCTGCAACACCACAACATAAAGGCAGCAATTCTTCTGTCTTTCATTGTCCAGCTCTCAGAAGAATTGTTGTTGATTGCCTTCAAGTCAAACACGACTCATAGTGACCCTAGGAACAAAAGGCCTGAAGCCCCTCTATAACTACTTAACATTTATCAAAGTTCACAGTTTCTGAACTCATGTTGTTTAGGAAGTAGATGCCACTCCTGCTTCCAAACCTGTCATAGTATATTATGTGCCACTGAGTCGCCTGCGATGTATAGTGACACTAGGTACAGCAGTTCTGAACCCTTCCCTGTCCTGAACCAGTCTCACTAACTCCGACATAACAACCCGCATCACCCCATTTACTGTACCAATCCATCTCATCCAGGTCTTCCTCTCCTGCGCTATTCGTCCACCCTTCCGAGCATGATGTCCTTCTCCAAGGACTGATCTCTTTGGCCACAAGCCCAAAGTGAGACAGAGCTTTAAAATCCTAGCCTCCAAGGAGAGACATGGTTTCATCCTCTCCAAAACAGACCTATTCGTTTTCTTGGAAGTGGATGCTCAACTCTTCTTCAGCACAACTCAGCAAATAAATAAAAAGACCATGGCCTAAACCAGGTACACCTTAATCCTCATCGTTTGTTGTTATGTAACATCAAGTCACTTGTAACTCATAGCAATCCTATGTATAAGAGCCATGAATCCTGCTCTATCCTGTGCCAACCTCATTGTCTGACACACCTACTCTCACCACACCAACCACTGAATCAATTCACCTTATCGAGGATCTTCCTCTCCTGCGCTGTCCCTCCACTCTCTCAAACATGATGTCCCTCTCCAAGGACCAGTCCCTCCATGAAACATACCCAAAGTTATGTCAGAAGAAGCTTCAGAATCCTTGACTCCAAGGAGCAGCCCAGGTTCACGCTCTCCAGGACAAACCTGTTTGTCCTCCTAACAGCTCATGATACATTCAATACTCTTCCCCAGCACCACAGCTCAAAGGCATCAATTCTCTATCATCCCTAGTCACTGTCCAGCTCTCTGATGTATAGCACGCAATTGTGAAGACTACAGCCCAGGTTCACATTAGTATCCAGCCTGCCACTGTAGCTCTTCAGTACTCTGGAAAGGTCCCAGACAGCTGACTTTCACAATCCAATTCGTCTTTTGATTTCCTGGCTGCTGGTGTCAAGAGTGTTGAGTGCAGAGTCAAGTAAACTAAAACTGTTAACTATCTCCATCTCTTCACCATCCATACTGATGCTGCCAATTGGCCCAGTGGTGAGAATCTTTGTTTTCTTGATGTTGAGCTTCAATCAAAGGCTGCAGTCCTTGACCTTCTGCAGCAAGCGCTTCAGATCCTCCTCAGTTTCAGCAAGGAGGGTTGTGTCATCTGCATAACGCAGGTTGTTGAATCTTCCACCAATCCAGGTGCCACATTACTCCTCATACAGCCCAGCATCCCAGAGGATCTGTTCTGCATAGATTGAAAAGGTATGGCGATAGAATACATAATTATTTCTCAGTAATTTAGTGAGATTTCTGACTGCAGACCTTTTCATTATAGTATGTCTCCTGACTGCTGATACCTAGGGTACTGACTGTGGATCCAAGTCATCTGACAATTTCAATCTTTTCTCCATCTATTATAATGTTGTCTACCAGTATAGTAGTAACAATTTTTGTCTTCTTGATGTGGAGATGTAATCCATACTGAAGGGAGCATTCTTTGATCTTTCTCAGCAACTGCTTCAAGCCCTCCTCACTTTCAACAAGCAAGGCTGTATCATCTGCATTAACATAGGTTACTGATGAGTCTTCCTTCAATCCTTATGCCACATTTTTCTCCAATAATTTGCTCTGAATATAAACTGAACAGTTATGAAGAGAGGATATAACCCTGATGCATACCTTTCTTCATTTAAAAACATATATTGTTCATTTGTTCTGTTTGACAGCAGCCTCTTGGGTCTAGGTATAGGTTTTCACATTGTTGTTGTTGTTGTTATGTGCCGTCGAGTCACTTGCGACTCATAGCGACCCTATGTACAACAGCCCTAAACTCTGCTCTGTCCTGTGCCAATCGCACTGTCTCTGACACTCCCATCCCGATTATCCCAGTCATTGAATCAATCCACCTCATAGAGGGCCTTCCACTCCTGCGCTGTCCCTCCACCCTCCCAAGCATGATGTCCTTCACCAAGGACCGGTCTCTCCTCACAACATGTCAAAAGTCAGACGGAGCCTCAGAATCCTTGGCTCCAAGGAGCCACCCAGTTTAACCCTTTCCAGGACAAATCTGCTTGTTTTCCTAGCAGTCCATGGTATTCTCAATACTCTTCTCCAGCACCACAGCTCAAAGGCATCAATTCTCCTTCTATCCTCCCTAGTCATTGTCCAACTCTCTGATGCATAACAAGTGACTGCGAAGACCATGGCCTGTATCAGATGCACCTTAGTCTCCAGAGAGACACCACTGCTCTTCAGTACTTTGGAGAGGTCCCTAACAGCAGACTTTCCCATGGCAATGCACCTTTTAATTTCCTGGCTGCTGGTGCCAAGACTGTTGACTATGGAACCAAGTAAACTAAAGCTGTGTAAAATCTCAATCTCTTCACCATCCATCCTGATGCTGCCAATTGGTCCAGTGGTGAGAATCTTTGTCTTCTTGACATTGAGCCTCAATCCATATTGGAGGCTGCAGTCCTTGACCCTCTGCAGCAGGTGCTTCAGGTCCTCTTCATTTTCAGCAAGCAGGGTTGTGTCATCTGCATAACGCAGATTGTTTTCACATTAGCACAATTAAATCTACCGGGAACACCATTCTTCTCAATGTTAGCCATAAAATTTTTTTTATGATCCACACAGTCAAATGTCTTTGTATAGTCAATCCACAAAGCACACATTCTTCTGGTATTCTTTGCTTTCACCAGGATCCATCTTGCATTAGCAATGACATGCATGGCGCCACAGCCTCTTCTACATCCAGCTTGAAATTCTGGAAGTTCTATAAGTACTATTCTAGTCACTTTTTTGTTTTATATATATGTATAAATATAAAAAACAAGTTTACTGAGACTTAAGGTTTCCAGTCATTCATTGTTGCACTTTTCTCCCTGCCCACCTCCTCCCCACAATTCACTCTTCTCCTTGAATAGTAAAAGAAAAGCTCTTTCATTGTTATGCAGTCCCTCCCAAGTCCACTCCACTGTGAGCCTTCGTTCTGGACTTCTGTCATAACAATAATACCCCATCATATATTCCTTTTAAACAGTTCTCTCCCTCATCTGTTTCAATACAATATACATCATGCCTCCCCTCCTTCTCTGCCTTTCCTCAACCCTGATGTCAGTGGCCCTATGCAGTATTTGTCATTTTGTGACTTAGATATTTCACTCAGCATAATGTCCTCCAGGGTCATCCATTTTGCCTATTTCATGAGTTCCTTGTTTTTTAATGCTGCACAGTATTCAACTGTGTGAATATACCAGAGCTTCTCTATCCATTCATATGTTGATGGGCACTTGGGTTGTTTCCAGCTCTTTGCTATTGCAAACAAAGCTGCAATAAACATGGCTGCACATATATCTGCTTGGGTGGCAGTTACGGTTTCTTCAGGGTAAATTGCCAGTAGTGAAACTGCTGGGTCAAATAGTATTTCTATTCGCACCTTTCTGAGAAAGCGCCATACAGCGTTCCATAGTGGTTGAACCATTTTACACTCCCACCAACAGTTGAGTAAGGGTTCCACTTTATCCACAACCTTACCAGCATTTGTTTTTTGCTGTTCTGTTAAATTTTGCTATTCTTACTGGGGTGAGATGTTATCTCATAGTTTTGATTTGCATCTCTTAGAACTAGAAATTTTGAATATTTCTTCATTTGTTGTTTGCCATAGGAATGTCTTTTTTGGTGAAGTGTCTGTTCATATCCTGTGTCCATTTTTCAATTAGGTTATTTACCTTTATCTTGTTGTGGTGCTCTAGCTACTTCTAAATGATCTTCAACAATGATCAACTAGTACCTTAGAACAAAATAATTTTATCACTGAAAATTAATTCAAATCGAGCAGTTAAAAAAATGGAGTTTTTTAAGACTACATAAAATAGCAAAGCATGTTGTGCTGCTAACCTAAAGGTGGTGATTCTCTCGTGTTTTAATCCACCAGCAGCTCTGGAGGAGAAAGATAAGTAATGTTCTCATGTGTGATTTATAGCCTTTGAAAATCCACTGGAAAGGTGACCTTTTCAGTTAGTTCTGCCTCCATGGGCAAAAAGTAGTCCAAGATTACTTACTTGTATCAAAATATTTACACTGACGCGGGCGGATTATTTCCTGGGCATCATGAGAAGCAACAGACTGTGATGGATCTTCATTGGAAGACTGAGTTTCATCCTCTTGACCTGATGAATCTTTTATATTCTCTTCCTATGGAATAAAGAATTCAGTTTCTCTAAGACACAAAACCAGTGTAGCTGAGATGATATAGTATTTATACATAGTTATAAATAGAATTAGAAGACAAAAATGAACACATTAAATGCAATGTGATACTCTGGATCAGATATGGGAACACGTAGGAAAAACAAGTGAAATCTAATCTAGTTTGTTGTTTTTGTTATATGCCGTTGAGTCAGAAGTGACCCTCCAACGGGTGTTTAGAGGCTGTAAATCACTTGGGATGAGATGTCCATCTTTCTCCGTGAAGCAGCTGGCGGGTTTCATTTTGGAAAAGGTAAAATGATCACACAAGTATTAAATTACAAATGGTGAGTGACAAGCATACGCATGTTCTCTATACTTCTTTGCAACAAGTCTATAAGGTCAAAAATGAAAAAAAAAACCAAACCAACTATTATACAAATTTCTAATAAGCCTTTATTACTTAAAAATAATGTGTTTTAAAAATTTGAATGAATTGTTTGTTAAATTAGGAAATGAAAGAAATCCAGAACACTATTCTATTCCCTAACTGCAAAGGTTGAGATGTTCAAGAATGTGATAAAATACTTATA